GTTTACAAACATGGAATACGGATAGTTGGAGTTGGAGGTGGGGGTCCAATATTATAGAGTATTAGTTCTTATTGATAGGTGGGTGTTCCATTTAATAATGTCTTTTAATGTAATTTTACTTTAGGGTATAATTGTAATAAAAAAAAAGTTATAAAATGGGAGGTCTAAAGAATTTTGGCAGGTGCGAATAGTAGCATTCTAAATTTAATCTATTAATAGTATATACTGAGAGTATTAATGGTGTGCAAATAGAATCACCCAATAGATATTAGGGCACTCGTCCATAAATTCAAATTTGAATTTTCTTTGTCTAGAGGTCCACACTCTAAAACATTATGTCCATAAGGACAAACTCTAGTAAAATGACCAAATACTCCCACCAAACCCATTTTTATCTCTATTTCTCACTCTCAATCCTCCACAGCTCAAATCTCTCTCTCTCTCTCTCTCTCTCTCTCTCTCTCTCTGCCACATCGGCAGCAATGCCTCCACCGCCGTGCTGCCTCTTACAGGGTTGAAGACACGATGTTAAAAATGGACCCGTCTTCACCATCTTCATATCCACCACACTACCAACATTACCGTCTTCACCATCTTCATATCCACCACACCACCAACATTACCGTTTTCACCATCTTCGTACCTTTCTCGGACGATGAAGACGCCGCAGATGAAAAATGCATCCATCGCCCCAACACTCATAGTTCTACCTTCTAATCGGCGACTCTCTCCGTCCCTTCAAAGTCAGTTTCATCATTCTCTACTTTTTGTTTTTTCATCACAAATTGTTTATTCTTTTTCTTGCATAGTGAGAGAACATATTTGCATTCGCAGTTTGTTAATTTTTCGTGCGTATGATTCTTGTCTATCATTGTTGAAGAAAAGAAAAAAAAAACTCACACAGATAAATTCAATAGTGTTTTGGATCCAGACCCTATGAAGGGTAATAGGGCAGATAGTACTGCAAATTCACATAAATAGAATTGAATTGTTGAATTGTTAAACAGATATATCAAGAATAATCTATCTATTTAATTTTTTTTGACTACTTGTTGAATTTTATTTTAACAGATAAAACTTTTTTTTGAACAGATAAAAAAAATTCAATAGACAGTTTCAACAGATAAGAATTTTTTAATAGATAAATTTCAACATACTGATTTTAACAAATCATGTTCATTTTTCAAGTTAATTTTCTTTTTTTGCCTTTTTTCTTTTTTTCTTGGCTCAAATCTGGTTGTTGTTGTTGATGATGAAATAGATTGATAACTTAAAAATAAAATAAAATAAACTAAAATAAAAAAAGATAAGACAAATATGTTCAAAATTTAAACAAATAAAAAAATTAAACAGATAATAAAATTTTGAACAGATAGAATTTTTTTTGAAAAGATAGGGTTTGGTTTGCACAGATCTGTACAAATAAGAAAAAGATATATATATGTATATGAATGTATGTATGTATGTAATATGCACAAATAAGAAATAGACAAACAACAAAAATTGGCTTGGTATTTCAACAGATCACTCTTTGAATTTCAACAGATGGAATTTTATTTAGACAAATATTTAAACAGATAAGAGATTTTCAATTGAAAAAGTTTTTAAAAAAATAAATAGATAGGGTAAAAAATTTGACCAGACAGTGGAAAATTTTGAACAAATAGTCAACGAAAATTTGAATAGATAAAAAAAAGTCTAGAGATAAAATTGAAACAAAATGTCTTACATGACTTCTTGCCAAACTATTTCACAAAATGTAAAACTTTCACTAATAGAAAAATATCCACGAAATCTAACGAAAAATCAAACAGATAAAAAAAAATCAAGGGGTAAAATTAAAAACAAAATGTCTTATAAGATTGCTCACCAAATTATTTCATAAAGTCTAAATCTCTCACCAATAAAAAATGTCTACTGAATCTAATGTCATAAACACTTTTTAAATTAAAGACATTCTTTTTTTTCTTTTCTTTTTTTTGTCCTTTTTTTTTTTAGGGTAGCCTTTAAAAGAGCAAGTGGGTTAGGTACCCTTATCCGGTATTTGCGGAGAAAATTTGATTCCAAAGAGAGAGAATTGTGTTGCGGTTGGTCGGGTTCACTGGTGGGTAGGTGGCCTAGCCTCCATTCAAGCTCAACCTCCTTGTAGTTGAACACCTTTATTTCTGATTTTTTTGTTTTTTGTGTTTTTGGTCTAAACTGGCAAGCCTGGCCCCGGCCGGAGATTTTCAGTGTCTAAAGTCAATAATCAACTAATAAATTTTTAAGGTTTTTAATATTTTTTTTTTCATTAAATGAAAAAAAATGAAGATAAATGACAAAATTTGTGTCAAAATTACAAAAAATACTTAGTATTACATTATAACAATTAATAAGTATCGTTTAATCCTCACTCTTCTTGCATTTTTAGAGCAAATAAATTAATCATACTTGCATAATCTATTTTTTTGCAAAATCATTTTCAATGAATAACAATACTAATTATTTTAAATACATCTTTCAATTTTTTAATAGGTCAATTTATTTTTAAGTTAGTTTAGGTCTTCCTTAATTTTTTTTAGATTTAAAATATACTTAATATATTACAATAAACTATAATAGGAGGACCCTTTTTTGGATCTATTTTTAGTGGATTACAATGTTAATTTTTTTGAATGGGCCTTTTAATTTTTTAATGGGTCAATTTATTTTAAGTTAATTTGTATTTTCTCTTTAATTTTTTTTTAACTTAAAACATACCTAATATATTACACTATATCATAATAAAAAAGACCATTCTTTTAGGTTTATCTTGAAGGGCCCTAGGCCATGGCCTTGTTAGCCAATGCTCAGGCCGGCACTGTAAACTGGTCAAGACTTTTTTAATAGTATCATGCCCCTCATGAGTGATTATTTAATAAATTTAAAGTGTAATTTCATATCATTTATCATTTAATAAATGTTGAGTTCTCAACAAAAAAAATATTGAGTTGTACTCTTAATTAATAAATATCAAATTGAGATACTACATGAATTTACCCCATGATCACCATTTAATTCTTTCCTCGTGTGACCACTTGAACTTGATTTCTATAGTACAAGGATTTCATAGTACAAGTGCCTTTCAAATGTAAGAAAAACATTCCCTTTTCCTTGTTTTCTTCATCTCAACAAACTATCTATAATTCTTTTTCTGTTTCTTTTCGTATTTTTTGAAATTTGATATAATATGATATTATGATACAATGGAACCAAAAGTCTTTTATTAAAAAAAATTATAAAGTAGTTGTATTAAAATAAAAATAACAACATACAGATTAAGAAAAATAAAAATAAAAAGATTTTGAAGGGCCAAATAAACAATCTAGCAAGAATTACTAATAACAAAATATAAAGCCAGCAAAAAAAAAAAGCTATGATTTAGAAGAAAAAAAAAAACACTAATCTTCTTACAAATGTGATTTGGAAAAGCAAAATCTACATCAAGCCCGCTGTCAATGTCTTCCCTATTGTCGTTGCCCTACTCTGCCGTTGTCGCCATGATACTTCGGTCACCACCAGAAGTTAGAGTTGAAGAGGAAGAATATTCACAATAGTATGAGAGGAGTATTGAGAAAAGAGCAAACTGCTGTGGATGTCGAAAATCTAAAAATTTATGCCTAAAATCAAGAGAAAAACTCTCAAACCTCTCTTCTCCTAGGCATAAAAAAACTCTGATCTACACTTTGAAAATGTTTTGGATACTCACCGAAAACACACTAGAAAGTTGGTGGTGTGCTGGAAATCACCTAGAGAGAGGCTCTCCAACACCCCTCTCTAATAGAAACCAAAAGTTAAAATGTTATTCAAATTGTTATTGATCAACTCTATCGAGTATGTGACAATAAATTTGCTCGCTTAAACTCTACCAAGTTCAAGCCTGCCATACACTTTAGACTGTTCAAGTGTTGAATCTTCACCCACCTTAAACATATATACGTCCAATGCTTTGTCAAGCAAAAACAAACTTCATCATCCTAAATGCCACAAGTAGACTTGACATCTCAGATGCACCAAGCATGGCTCATGTGGCTTCATAATACCAAACTCACCTATGAGAAAGGCGCTCACCCAAGGTACATGTATATGCTACACAAGACATCTAGCTACGCATGTATATGCTAGCTAAGGTCCTTGACCTATCTAATAAGCTTCAATGCATGTAGGTATCTTGTTGCGCACGTCTTGAACAGACAGTAGCATATTAATTTCAAAATCGTAACCAAAATGGAAAACTATTTTCTTTCGAAAAATAACATTTCCATTGAAACAGAGTACAATATGCTATCTGGAGTTCAAATCGAAACTATTAAGGCCTCATTTAGTGTTTCCTTTTACTTTTTCTTTTTTCCTGAAAGCAGTGTTGTCAATAATTTTCAAAATAAGTTTTCACTCTCCTCCCTCTCCCACCACTTGCAGCCATTACTCACTGCCACTAGTGGCCACCCTGCACCACTAACCACTATTGTTTAACTCTACAACAAGCTCCAACCACCTTATGATGGGCTCCAACGATCGAACAATCACTGCAAGTGAGCTCCGGTCGCCTTGTGATCTCCGGTTGCCTTGTGATCTCCAACACCACCCTGGCCAACCCCATTGCCAACCACCACATCCATCCATTATCCACCACTTGCTACCATCTCTGACAACTCACCAAACACGTTCACTATTTTTATTTTCATTTGAATTCAAAAGTCAGATACACCAAAAAAAAAAAAAAAAAAAATTACAAAAAAGAAAAACAAAACAAAATAAAAACTTGCGTCTTTTTCCCTGACCAGAGACTGGGAATGAGACCCTAGGAAACCCAAGTCATGTGCATGGCTCAAGCAGTCCGTTTTCACTCACACCATCAGCATTTGCGCGAGTTCTTAATTGTCAACCCAATTCTAAAATTCATACCAAAAACCTACAAGGTTTGAGATGCACACGTTGGTCTTACCATGTTGCAAAACAAACAAGTAAATGACATTTAACACTGAAAATAAGAATACAACAAAAACTGCAATTAAGAACTGGTTTGTCCATGCCCGTCTTGCTATCATCAGCTGCCATATAATTTGCAGAGACTAAAATTTCATATATAGAGAAGAAAAAAAAAAGAAGAAAAAAAATATAGAGGAGCTCATTCATTTACATGCATACATATTTACAGCAGTCGGGGTCAACAAGAAAAAATTTAACCCAAAAAAAAAAAATTATATTCACTGACCTCTATTGAGCTTTTAAAATGGCTAAGTAGAAGTAGCACCCAAAAGAAATTTATTCTCCGCTGCTACCATCAAAGTCATTCGCCGAAAAATGTGTTGCCATCTCAAGCGTTATTCTACCAGTCTTCGAGCCATTCTGGAGTATCAAGCTCTTCCACATCTTGGTGTGGCGAAAGATGAGAAGCTCCACACTCCTCAGAATGACTTTCCAAGTGTTGAGCTAGACGCGAGATAATCTCATGTGGAACAGGGAAGCTGCCATCTGTAATTGCTTCCCAATCAACATCATCAAACCATGGATGAGATTTGACAGAATCAGCACCATGGCTTCCAAGTCTTGTGGTTTCATCAACTTCAAGTAACTGAATGAATGTATTTGTAGGCATAAGATCAATGCCGCAGGAAAAATATAATACAATTAGACACATTTGTTTGCCGGATAAGGGAGGGGGATCCATGGGATCCATTTATCCCACATTTGGTAGTGCAATTTCACAATGGGACAGTGCCAAAACCACTTGCTGGTCTTTCCAAACAGACAGCATGAAGAAAAGAAGAAAAAAAAAGGTCGAATAGACTCGGAAATAAAAGAGATAGTGAAACCCTTTCCCACCATTGATTCTGTCCTAGTACTACTACTCTTTCATCGTTGTTGGTTCTTTTGACATAACATTCTTGGGCACCTCCAATCCGGTTGGTCGGTCACCCTGTAGCGAGTGTTGGGCAATAATTCAATCCCACGAGGGGTGGGATAAAATAAAAACTTAACACTCAGTTTGGATTGGGTGATCTTTTGAGAAATGTTGAACTCTTTTCTCATGTGTGGTTGATAAGTTAGGTGAGAAATTGTGAGAAATGATGAGAAAAAGAACTCTCTTATTTTATAGGTTTCATTTCTCACCAAAAGTGGCGAGATTTGGTGATAAACAAACTGATTGATTGTGTAATTTTCATAATAATGAGATTGCCCATTAAAATACGAAAGGAAAAAAATAAATCTCACCCATATCCTTATACAACATATTTTACTTTCTTACTTATCCAAATGTTATAGGGAGAAAAAACAATCATTTCCTGTTTTCTTTTTTATTTTTATTTTTATTTTTTTTCTCACCTAGGTGAGAGACCATAATAATTTCTTTCTTTTCTCATCCCACGATCCAAATGGAGTGTAAGGACCTCCACAATCCTCCTTATTCCAAGTGGCTGAATAGTCCTATCCTCCCTTATCCTATCTGGCAACCAAACCTGGTAGGGAAATAGCAAATATAAATCTAGCGTAGAGTTACCTTGGTGATGAGATCAACAGCTTCAAGGCTCAGAGTCCCGGGCAGAGTTAGCTGTCCTTTTGCAATCTTTGCAAATGTTTCAAGCTCACTTTCTCTCCATGATCCAAACGGCATTTCACCTAGTAACATGAAATAGATCAGGACTCCCAATGCCCACCTGCACAATTTCAGCTACCAAGTTTGAGGCCCTGCAGGCAGTTCTGAGATACAAGATCAGAATGAACGAAAGAAAAACCAGGATATGCATAAGCACATGGTTGTTAGCAGTGGCAGACACAGGAATTGTACATAGCAGATTTAAAATGGACAATAAAATTTTAATGATTTTATTATTAGCAAAGCCATTGTATGTAAATCATATTAAAATATCTAATTCTATAAACATAAATTTTAAAATTTTCATTAACTATGCAAATAAAAATTTATTTTAAGAAAATATTGAGATAGACACATAAAAATAAAATAAAATGCATCAAAAGAGGGTTTTATATAAATAGTTTTCCACATTATATAAAATAAAAAAGAAATACACAAGTACTTTTTTCAAATTCATAAATAATAATAAAAAAATCAATATGTCTAGGCTTCCGATTTTTCAGCTCTCATTTTTCAATAATCCTATGATCATATGATATTATATGATATGCTATCACTATATAATTTTGATCATTTATTTATTTTTATTCTTTTTGGACCAGGTAGGATGTTGATAAGTTAGTAGAATTACATTTACAAAGTTATAAAGTATTATTATAGCATTATTATTATTTTTTTATATAAATAATCAAATTTTATTAAAAAAGCATCAAGACGATGCAAATAACACATAAAGAACAAAACCCTAAAAGGGCCCAAAACAAAACTAGCAAATCAAATCCTCCACACACACACACACACACACACCCAAAAAAAAAAAAATTTGGTTGAGAGCCACATCTTGATTGATGGACAGTAGCTTAAAGGGTTTTTATTTCTGCTAATTGAAGTTTTCAAAATTGTTGGCTTTGGATTGAGGGGGGAGGACCAAAATATCAGTCCAGTAAATTTACATGAAAAACTTGAAACCTTGCAGGGGCCCAAGGCTTGGGTCCGCCAGTGGTTATTAGAATCTTATGATTAACGATTTGATTCATTCGATTCGATATGAGTTTCAACCAAAACGATTTGATTCAAATTATTGAATCTTTCAATTCAATTGTGATTCCCTACAATTCATTACGATTCACTATAATTCGCTATATGATTCACAATTTTAGTAAAACCATTCACAATTCAATTTGCAATTTGACAACAATGCATACACATAACAGAGTCAAGCCAAATCCTAAAAAAATTCCTGCAAAATGCAGATGCATGAATTAGTTTGTTATGCCGGGAAAGCACAAGCCGCCTATGATGACATGTTATGTTGCTCAGATGAAAACAAAAATATGAGGTTCCAGGAGTACAAAGGATGCAGATATATAGGAAAGGAAACAATAGAAGCTGAACCATTTGTGTAGGAAGGTAAAATGTTGTTCCAACAAAATATATTCATAGAACTATGTGGTGTGAAAGTAACTTTAATGACCTAGGCACATTTATAGGCAATTGAGTATGCTTTCTCACGCACAAGAAGAAGCGAGGAATGGAATTCAATGTATATGGTCAAACATACTTTAGTTATGCCATGAGCCATATTGGTCCTGGACTTCAACAACACATCAACAGTGTGCCCTGTAAAAGTTAATGTAAGGCTTGATGCCATGGTTCTCGCAGAGCTACTATTCGATGCTTCAATTGCAGAAGTTACCTTCATAATGGTTAATTCATTTATATGTAACATTCTAGATAATGGTTACAAGTATTTTCCAAATTCCCAAAAGGTATTTTTTGACGAATACACTTAAGCATATTCAATGGAAGCACCATACCATAACTGAGTGAGATCAATTTACCTGGAATGCAGATCATTCTAGGCTATGGACGGGAACGTGGTGCACCACATGCTCTACATACTATAGGATAGGTTTATGTAGACCACATTATTGGAATGTATTACGGTACTTCAAAAATATGAGAGTGACTTTCTATTATGAAGAAAAAAAGAAAAAAAAGACAGTTGATGAAACAAAATCCATTACAAGATATTTATACTCATTTATTGAAGTTTTTCTAATATCCAAATTAGTAACACAAAAGCACATTCTAAGTGTATCTTATATAAGTTGCACCCGATGCTTTTACGGCTTCCTTGTTTAGATATTACCCTACCACAACTCCACTGTATGTAGATTTCAATCCAATGTAATTAGTATGTTATTTTCGTTAGGAAAATACCAAGGACTGTTGAAATCTGTCTGACCCACCCAATCCAAACCGACCATTTGTGGACAGTTTCACCACCAATTTCGGTTGGCAACAGTTGACATTACAAAATATTTTGATTTTTCCATATTTAAAGAACTAAAAATCAGTCTACCCAACCCACCGGATGTATTAAAAGATACTTCTAGCCACGTGTTTGTTCTTTACTAGTTGAAGATATTAAATTATAGTATTATTTCATCTACCGAGATAACCTATGGAGTAGGCATCATTACTACAACTTGTTCAACTTTCCAGCTAAACTTCATAATTACACATTTAACGTATGCAACTCTTCGGCTGGACTTCATCATTACACATTTCAACTTCTCATTTCCCATGTCTCTTTGAATACTTTAGTTGGTATAATAGAAACCCTTTTTTTTATTTTACATGATAGTTTCTGGCCCTTGCCGTATCACTGCCGTTTCACCTTCTCTTTTGCCATTGGAGGTCGCTTCGCTGTCACCGCTGCTGGCGGTCAGAGACTGCTTAACCTTCACCTTCAGATATTTCTTTGTCGCCGCTTCTCAGTCTCAGATCTGCCTCTCTCACTCCTCTTTGCCTCTCTGCTCTCTCACCCTTCACCTCTCCCCCTTAATCCTCATTTCTTAAGCCCCTCTGCGTCTGGGGAAAAAAATTCGGGTTAGAAATGCTATTTTAATTTTTTGGTTATTAGGTTTAACTCTCTGGTGGACCAGTTGGTTTTGACACTCGACCGACCAATAGCTCAAAACCGAACATATTCGGTCGGGTGACGGGTATATAGTAAACCCAAACCAATCCAACCCGACCCATGAACACCCCTACCAAGGAAATAAATTGGGAAAATGTTTGGATAGTCTTGGGTAACTAAATATAGTAAATTAAAATGAGTCAGGGTACTAGTTCTTTTACAACCCCATGAGTCAAATTGATCAATTAACAAACTATTTTATATATGTTTCAGTTACATGTTGTACCCTGCATAAACATGTTCTTCAAAACATTTCCTAACACTCCAAGCAGAAAGAGAAGTAAAAAAAAAAAAAGATTTCCTAACACAGCATTCCATTCTAAAATACTACTTTTACCATAAGCAGGATTGTACATAACCAAGTAATGGGATATGTTGTTTCGAGTTCCTTGTGCTCTCCCTTGCACACAACTTCCATTAGAAATCTTTCTGATGGAAACAAAATCAAAAGTTGGCTTCTTTTCATTTTGTTTCTTTTTTTCTAATTATGACTGTTTCTTGTAGTACTACGCAAACCATGATGTGACAGACTACAATGTATGGTATTAAGATGAACCTAAGAGGTATATATACTTGTTACATACCAGTCAGCAGGGAGACCATGACCTTTTCCCTGGACTATCTCTGGAGCCAAAGAGTCTGCCATCCCACATATAGTGAATGTTCTTTCACCTGATAACTTCTTCCCAAATCTGAAGTCCACAAACTACAACACAGCAAAAGGTTACAAATTTATTAAGCACAATGTTGTTCAATTATGAAGCACAGACACCTATCTGGAGGTCACCTACTAGTATCCAACACGTGTCAAACACGGACACTTGTTGGACATGCTGGAGGAAGTGTCTCATTTTTTTTTTCTTCCAGTCGGACACACTAGGGACAGGCGACGAACACATTGGGAACACACTAGGGACATTAGGTCTCGCATTTTTTTTATTTCATTTTTTTACCAGAATACCCGAGGTTGATGAATTTTATGAGAATAAATATTTAACATAGAATAAATATATAATATTCAAATAAATGATAAATATATAATAAGTATATAAAATTATATGTTTCCCAAATGTCCCCAGCATGTCATATCCAGCATTTTTTGAAAATTTGAGTTTCGGCGTGACCGTGTCATGTCATTTATCCGTGTTTGTGTTTATTAGCTGTTCAATTTATCCCTCAAGGAGTAAAAGAACAAGAGAATCATTATGCAAAATTAAAAACATAGAAACAAATGACTGGAACCTGTAGATGTCCTGTCTGGTCAAACATTAGAACATCTGGAGATACACCTCTGTAAAGAACCCCATTCTGAAATTCAAACAAGTATATATGAAATAATTTTTCAAAACCAGTAGTACTAGTGTGTAACAGACTCAGGAATTGAAGCAACAGTCTATTATTTAGACAACGAACCTTGTGTAAATCTTCTAAGGCAGTGACAACAATGGCAGCACAGAATTGAGCCGATGCTTCATCAAGTGGGGTGTGAAGTATTGAAGCAATTGGACAAGCAATGCAGGTATTTAACAGTATGCCAGCGTGTGTCTGATCAGCACAGGTGCATAAAACCTGTGGTACACTACCTGAAGGGCTTACACTCTTCATCAGGTTCTTTTCTCTTAAAACCAGTGCTTCGTTTCCAAGACTTCTGATTTTTTGCTTCGAAAATCTCTTCAGGCTAAGCAAATTTTCTGATAGATTGAGAAAGACAAGATAACAAAAATAAAAATGTTTTAATCGCTACTTTACTAATATATTTTTCCATAATTCCTGCACACCATCTAATACACATCAGCCCTTTCTGAAGCAAGTAAATAGTTAGCTTTATAAGGTTAGTGACCCAAGTCAAAGCAACCTTCAGGCTTCACTGCACTTGTACTTGACAATATTAGCATCAATATACAGAAAGGAAACCAACCTGAATCTCTCAAAAGTACAAGCCCGATCTCACTACAGTCGGTGGAATACAAACACTTTCTCCACTCCTACCAAAGTTACCAGTATGCAAATTAAAATGCCTGTCTCTTTCCATAACAAGGTCACAATAACATGTAGAATTAATTAGGTTTTACCTCCTTCAACAAACACTGAATATCACCTTACCTCCCCTCAACTTTAAAACCATATATTTAGAACCCTGATAGTTGAGGAGTCTAAATGTACAGTTTTAAAGGTGAAGAGGGCTAAGGTGATATTCAGTGATAGTTGAAGGGGTAAAGTGTGTATGACAGAAGAGATTTGAAAACCCTTACCAAATCTGAGAGCTTCACCTTCCCAAGAGTAGAAGGATCAATCGTTCTGAATTCATTGGACACACCCAAGGAATAGTCCCTCGATCTACATAATGTCAATCAGTAGAATCGGGATTACAAAGTAATTTCAGTCAAAGGCACGAAACAATGTAGTATAAAAAGTAACACTGACATTTTCCATTTAAAGTAACAATGATTTTTCATCATTAATTTTGTTAGTGAAGATATTAGATACATGAGATTACTACATACTTGTGATCATCCTGTGAAAGCTTTGCCAGAGGGCCAACGACAGAGTCAAACTTTTCTTTTGTCAATACAGAACATACCACGTCACCCACAGCAACTGCACTCACTAGGCCAATGTGCTCACTGATAAGCGTCCACTCACCAAAATAACTTCCCTCATCCTTCTGCACCAGAAGCTCTTTATTGTTCTGCGTATCATTGTCCTGCTTTGAGCTGTCAGCCACGAGACTGCCCGTGTTCGGTTTATTAATTACTTCTGAATCAACAGTAATTCTAACTTGTCCCTTCTCGATAATGTACAATCCCAAGAAAGCCTCATCCTTCATACATGGCAAAATGTAAGGGAAGGAAGATTAAAAAAAAAATAAGACATTTAATTCGAAATAGAATATTTACCCTATCAGCTATTATCTGCCCATCAGAAAAGGAAACTTCAGAAAGAGATTCTGCAATGTGACTCAGCTGTAAGATTGTCAACCTCGAGAGCAGATCTACTGATCGAAGCAACTTCAATGATGATAAATTTGAAAATTCTGACATAAGAATTCCTCGAAAATCTTCCCTTTTTAAAGCCCAAAGAGTTCCACTTGTCACAGCACGGACAGAGGCCTGGAGTGGTTTGTTATTCCTAAGTGAAATGTACCGGAGGAAACCACATACAGTAAGAATGAAACTACCATGGTTAACAGTAACAAATTCAAGGAAATCATGATCCTAAATGTTCACAATAAGTCATGAAATGAACCATGTTTCTTAGAAAATAATTATGGATCTAAGATCACCAGAGTTGTGTTTGTGTGAGAACACTAGAAATAATCCTGATCAAAACATATCTGCAATGATTTATGATTTAAATTATGCTGGATCTTTTGATCTTAGGTACCAATAAAGAGTATGTAAAGTCAACCCATCAATGATTAGGTGGGATCCACAAATGTAATGGCTGATGATTCGCTTTCGCTTATTCAAAGGGCTAATTATTTATACACCATTTTACTCATTATGTAAACATGAACGGCATTTTTGGAAAATATGATACTGACACTTAAATCCAGATACAGGAAAATTATTAATGGAGAGAGTTTTACTCGTTTAAGTAAACATGAACGGCATTTATGGAAAATATGCTACTGACAATTAAATCCAAATACAGGAAAATTTAATGGAGAGAAAGAGACGTTTACTTACCATTTCTCATGCATTACGGTTCGAACACTCGAACACCTATACGGATTCTCCTACACAGTGGCAGGTATGTAAATACGACGTTTACTTACCATTTCTCATGCATTACGGTTCGAACACTCGAACACCTATACGGATTCTCCTACACAGTGGCAGGTATGTAAATACGACGTTTACTTACCATTTCTCATGCATTACGGTTCGAACACTCGAACACCTATACGGATTCTCCTACACAGTGGCAGGTATGTAAATACGACGTTTACTTACCATTTCTCATGCATTACGGTTCGAACACTCGAACACCTATACGGATTCTCCTACACAGTGGCAGGTATGTAAATACGACGTTTACTTACCATTTCTCATGCATTACGGTTCGAACACTCGAACACCTATACGGATTCTCCTACACAGTGGCAGGTATGTAAATACGACGTTTACTTACCATTTCTCATGCATTACGGTTCGAACACTCGAACACCTATACGGATTCTCCTACACAGTGGCAGGTATGTAAATACGACGTTTACTTACCATTTCTCATGCATTACGGTTCGAACACTCGAACACCTATACGGATTCTCCTACACAGTGGCAGGTATGTAAATACGACGTTTACTTACCATTTCTCATGCATTACGGTTCGAACACTCGAACACCTATACGGATTCTCCTACACAGTGGCAGGTATGTAAATACGACGTTTACTTACCATTTCTCATGCATTACGGTTCGAACACTCGAACACCTATACGGATTCTCCTACACAGTGGCAGGTATGTAAATACGACGTTTACTTACCATTTCTCATGCATTACGGTTCGAACACTCGAACACCTATACGGATTCTCCTACACAGTGGCAGGTATGTAAATACGACGTTTACTTACCATTTCTCATGCATTACGGTTCGAACACTCGAACACCTATACGGATTCTCCTACACAGTGGCAGGTATGTAAATACGACGTTTACTTACCATTTCTCATGCATTACGGTTCGAACACTCGAACACCTATACGGATTCTCCTACACAGTGGCAGGTATGTAAATACGACGTTTACTTACCATTTCTCATGCATTACGGTTCGAACACTCGAACACCTATACGGATTCTCCTACACAGTGGCAGGTATGTAAATACGACGTTTACTTACCATTTCTCATGCATTACGGTTCGAACACTCGAACACCTATACGGATTCTCCTACACAGTGGCAGGTATGTAAATACGACGTTTACTTACCATTTCTCATGCATTACGGTTCGAACACTCGAACACCTATACGGATTCTCCTACACAGTGGCAGGTATGTAAATACGACGTTTACTTACCATTTCTCATGCATTACGGTTCGAACACTCGAACACCTATACGGATTCTCCTACACAGTGGCAGGTATGTAAATACGACGTTTACTTACCATTTCTCATGCATTACGGTTCGAACACTCGAACACCTATACGGATTCTCCTACACAGTGGCAGGTATGTAAATACGACGTTTACTTACCATTTCTCATGCATTACGGTTCGAACACTCGAACACCTATACGGATTCTCCTACACAGTGGCAGGTATGTAAATACGACGTTTACTTACCATTTCTCATGCATTACGGTTCGAACACTCGAACACCTATACGGATTCTCCTACACAGTGGCAGGTATGTAAATACGACGTTTACTTACCATTTCTCATGCATTACGGTTCGAACACTCGAACACCTATACGGATTCTCCTACACAGTGGCAGGTATGTAAATACGACGTTTACTTACCATTTCTCATGCATTACGGTTCGAACACTCGAACACCTATACGGATTCTCCTACACAGTGGCAGGTATGTAAATACGACGTTTACTTACCATTTCTCATGCATTACGGTTCGAACACTCGAACACCTATACGGATTCTCCTACACAGTGGCAGGTATGTAAATACGACGTTTACTTACCATTTCTCATGCATTACGGTTCGAACACTCGAACACCTATACGGATTCTCCTACACAGTGGCAGGTATGTAAATACGACGTTTACTTACCATTTCTCATGCATTACGGTTCGAACACTCGAACACCTATACGGATTCTCCTACACAGTGGCAGGTATGTAAATACGACGTTTACTTACCATTTCTCATGCATTACGGTTCGAACACTCGAACACCTATACGGATTCTCCTACACAGTGGCAGGTATGTAAATACGACGTTTACTTACCATTTCTCATGCATTACGGTTCGAACACTCGAACACCTATACGGATTCTCCTACACAGTGGCAGGTATGTAAATACGACGTTTACTTACCATTTCTCATGCATTACGGTTCGAACACTCGAACACCTATACGGATTCTCCTACACAGTGGCAGGTATGTAAATACGACGTTTACTTACCATTTCTCATGCATTACGGTTCGAACACTCGAACACCTATACGGATTCTCCTACACAGTGGCAGGTATGTAAATACGACGTTTACTTACCATTTCTCATGCATTACGGTTCGAACACTCGAACACCTATACGGATTCTCCTACACAGTGGCAGGTATGTAAATACGACGTTTACTTACCATTTCTCATGCATTACGGTTCGAACACTCGAACACCTATACGGATTCTCCTACACAGTGGCAGGTATGTAAATACGACGTTTACTTACCATTTCTCATGCATTACGGTTCGAACACTCGAACACCTATACGGATTCTCCTACACAGTGGCAGGTATGTAAATACGACGTTTACTTACCATTTCTCATGCATTACGGTTCGAACACTCGAACACCTATACGGATTCTCCTACACAGTGGCAGGTATGTAAATACGACGTTTACTTACCATTTCTCATGCATTACGGTTCGAACACTCGAACACCTATACGGATTCTCCTACACAGTGGCAGGTATGTAAATACGACGTTTACTTACCATTTCTCATGCATTACGGTTCGAACACTCGAACACCTATACGGATTCTCCTACACAGTGGCAGGTATGTAAATACGACGTTTACTTACCATTTCTCATGCATTACGGTTCGAACACTCGAACACCTATACGGATTCTCCTACACAGTGGCAGGTATGTAAATACGACGTTTACTTACCATTTCTCATGCATTACGGTTCGAACACTCGAACACCTATACGGATTCTCCTACACAGTGGCAGGTATGTAAATACGACGTTTACTTACCATTTCTCATGCATTACGGTTCGAACACTCGAACACCTATACGGATTCTCCTACACAGTGGCAGGTATGTAAATACGACGTTTACTTACCATTTCTCATGCATTACGGTTCGAACACTCGAACACCTATACGGATTCTCCTACACAGTGGCAGGTATGTAAATACGACGTTTACTTACCATTTCTCATGCATTACGGTTCGAACACTCGAACACCTATACGGATTCTCCTACACAGTGGCAGGTATGTAAATACGACGTTTACTTACCATTTCTCATGCATTACGGTTCGAACACTCGAACACCTATACGGATTCTCCTACACAGTGGCAGGTATGTAAATACGACGTTTACTTACCATTTCTCATGCATTACGGTTCGAACACTCGAACACCTATACGGATTCTCCTACACAGTGGCAGGTATGTAAATACGACGTTTACTTACCATTTCTCATGCATTACGGTTCGAACACTCGAACACCTATACGGATTCTCCTACACAGTGGCAGGTATGTAAATACGACGTTTACTTACCATTTCTCATGCATTACGGTTCGAACACTCGAACACCTATACGGATTCTCCTACACAGTGGCAGGTATGTAAATACGACGTTTACTTACCATTTCTCATGCATTACGGTTCGAACACTCGAACACCTATACGGATTCTCCTACACAGTGGCAGGTATGTAAATACGACGTTTACTTACCATTTCTCATGCATTACGGTTCGAACACTCGAACACCTATACGGATTCTCCTACACAGTGGCAGGTATGTAAATACGACGTTTACTTACCATTTCTCATGCATTACGGTTCGAACACTCGAACACCTATACGGATTCTCCTACACAGTGGCAGGTATGTAAATACGACGTTTACTTACCATTTCTCATGCATTACGGTTCGAACACTCGAACACCTATACGGATTCTCCTACACAGTGGCAGGTATGTAAATACGACGTTTACTTACCATTTCTCATGCATTACGGTTCGAACACTCGAACACCTATACGGATTCTCCTACACAGTGGCAGGTATGTAAATACGACGTTTACTTACCATTTCTCATGCATTACGGTTCGAACACTCGAACACCTATACGGATTCTCCTACACAGTGGCAGGTATGTAAATACGACGTTTACTTACCATTTCTCATGCATTACGGTTCGAACACTCGAACACCTATACGGATTCTCCTACACAGTGGCAGGTATGTAAATACGACGTTTACTTACCATTTCTCATGCATTACGGTT